ATATCTTCCAATGAAAACTACGACCCTGTTTTTCTTGAAAACAAAATACAATCCGAAAATTATAGCTCACTTTCATATGAAATTAACGATAATCCTCTAAATCTTCCTCTAACGCTTCATGAATTGAATGATTCACTTAGAGATTTGAAGGATACTAGTCCTGGACCAGATGATATACTATCTATTTTTTTAAAACAACTTCCTAATTCAGCCATAAAGGTTATGCTACAGATATTTAATTTCATATGGCAGCAACACCAGTACCCCACAATTTGGACTAAGGCTATTGTTCTCCCATTTCTTAAACCTCAATGTCCCCGTCTAGACCCTGAATCGTACAGACCCATAAGTTTGACGTGCTCCATGGGAAAATTACTAGAAAAAATTATCAATACAAGGCTCACCTGGACACTTGAAAGTTCAAATCTACTAACGAATGAGCAAAATGGTTTTAGACAAAATCGATTGGGCATAGATAATATACTTGATTTATAAAGCGATATCCAGGAAGCCCTAGCGATGCGACAACACTGTATAGCAATATTTTTCGATATAAAGAAAGCATTCAACACGTGCTGGAGATATAATATTTTAAAAAAGCTGCACTCATGGAATATTCGGGGAAACTCTCTAGAATTTATTAAAAAATTTTTACGAACGAGAGCATTTTAAGTTTAAGTTCAAAGTTCATATTCCGAAGAACATATTGAGGAAAACGGAACCCCTCAAGGTTCTATAATTAGCCCGACATTATTCCTAATCGCCATAAATGATATAATTAAAAATTTACAAAAACCTTTGAAAGCTCGTCTTTACGCAGACGATTTGGTGGTTTATATCAAGGGCAAATATTCTTCACTTATGTCGAAATACTTACAAAATTTTCTAAAACAACTAGAAGAATGGTCCTGTGACACGGGATTTAAATTTTCCGTATCTAAAACAGTGGGAATGGTATTTACTAATAAACACGCTTTCAGTAAACCAATATTAAAGATTTTTTAATTCAGAGCTTATGTTTAAAACATGATATAAAATTCATGGAAATGTGGTTAGACAAAAAACTATCCTGGAAAAAAACACATAGATCAACTTGTCGCATCGTGCAATAAAAGATTAAATATATTAAGAACTTTATCTAACAGGGATTGGGGCTCTGATTACGATACACTAATTAGTCTATATAAAGCATTAATTAGATCTAAAATATATTTTAGTTTCATTGCGTATATTTCTGCATCCGACGCAACACTAAAACCATTAGATAGTATACACATTATTTCAACCATTATTTCAATTTTCATGATTCAGTTATGTACCTTTAGTTCTCGAGATATTTCTAATTGGTCGTTTATCTGCCGCACCCTGTATATTTGCTGGTGGACAACCTGTAGGTTTACAAAAATTGAAAAAGCATTATGATAAATGTATGATTCTAATTCTAATAACCGTCGTAAGTTTTGCTCACATGTTTTGGTGTATATCCTATAATGCGAACGTGTATTATAGGATATAATATCAAGCGGATCTACTGTAACTCATATGCATTGTACCTCACTGTAAAATTCACAAAGTTTTTTTAAATCATTTATTGTCCTTTCACTTTTATTTTTCTTTATGTTAAAGGGAATAATTGCATTAGCCAAACTTAGCAGCCATATATAATTTTAAGACTAAAATTTGTGGAGCATCATGCTAATAAATTTAAACATTTAAAGCCGAACGACGCCTCTTTTATAAACTGATGCCAAAGTGGAAGTCCAGTAAATTTATCGTGCCCTGGTTTTCTAAAATCTTCCAAATATTCAATGTTAACCCGGCAACTGTGTTGTGGGGTGAAAATAACCCACGTCGTTCATTACCGCTTGTTAAAATAGTGGCAACATCGCCAGATTCGTCTGGCGCCACGAGTACCTTCCCATAATATAACAGACCTTGTATTGCATCATAAATTTCAGTATATAAATAAGATTTGAATGAGTGGTGTCGCCTTCTTTGGACTTGTGGGTGATTTTAACCCCACCACACAGTTGAAGTGCAGTATTATTTAGTTTTTGGGTAATTTTAACCCCACAACACCGGTTAATTATTAACAGGTAAGTTCTTATACTAGCACAACTTATCTCGATTTTTTTAACAGAAACATAATTTAATTGTTAGGAATATTGAAAATTGATTAGATATTCTTAATTTCAGACATATCGAAATATGTGTAGTTGGGAGAAAGAACAAGAAGCTCTCTTGAAGCTTTGGCAGGATGAATTAACTGGATCAGAGTTAGGATCAGAAAGCGAATCTGAAAATGAAAGTCAGCAGGTTAGCCTTAGTTCCAGTGAGGATGTTTTACAAAACCAACTTCAATCAGTGGAAAATTGTCAGCCTGGAACTTCTAATCAGGAAAGTCAATCATCGTCGGAAGAATCTTCTCAAGACAACAATAAGTTTGAAGATGATAAAGTAAGACAATCTAAGTTTTTTATCGGACGGGATGGGAAAACAAAATGGTCAAAGAACTGTCCTAATAAATCGGTTAGAACACGACAAGAAAATTTAATTACTTTACTTCCCGGTGTTCGAAATAATGCAAAACATTGCAAATCACCCATTTCTTGCTGGGAATTATTCATGGATAATATTATTGTAGAAGATATTGTCCAATGCACTAATAAAAAAATCAGTTTAGTCGCTCAGAATTATAATGACCAACATAAATATATCACCAAGCCTACGGACGCAGAAGAAATTCGTGCAGTTTTCGGATTACTATATCTATCAGGCGTTTATAAAGCCAATAGGTTAAATCTGGAGGATCTTTGGGCTACAGATGGAACAGGAATTGACATTTTCAGGCTAACAATGTCCCTGCAAAGATTTATATTACTTTTAAAGTGCCTACGATTCGATAATATCGAAAATAGAGACGAACGAAAAAGAGTAGATAAACTGGCAGCTATACGAGCTGTTTTTGATCGATTTGTATCCAATTGTCAACAATATTTTATTCCTAGTCAATACTTGACGATCGACGAAAAATTAGAATCTTTTCGGGGACGTTGTTCCTTTCGGCAATATATCCCCAATAAGCCGTCCAAATATGGCATTAAAATATTTGCCTTAGTGGATGCCAAAACATTCTACATTTTAAATTTAGAGGTATATGTTGGCTCACAGCCTGAGGGACCTTTTCAATTTAGTAATAGACCGTTTGATGTAGTAAACAGGCTTGTAAATCCAATTCGTGGTACTAATCGCAACATTACATTCGACAACTGGTTTACCAGCATACCGCTAATGGAACATTTGCTTAGTGAACATCGGTTAACATCTGTTGGAACTATTCGTAAAAACAAGAGGGAAATACCGACAATCTTTTTGAATTCCAAAAACAGAGCTGAAAACCACGCAATTTTCGGATTTAAAAAAGACATTTCTTTGGTGTCCTTTGTCCCGAAGAAAAATAAAATAGTGTTAGTAGCTTCTTCACTTCATCATGATACAGAATTTGACCACAAATTAAATAAACCTGAGATTATAGACTTTTATAATCACACAAAAGGTGGAGTGGATATGGTTGACGAAATGTCTGCGTTATATAATGTGTCTCGTAATAGCAAGCGATGGCCACTAACAATTTTTTTTTCGCTGCTTAATAATGCAGGAATAAATAGTTATGTTATTTATCAACATAACAAGCCAAATGAAAAACTAAAACGCAGATTTTTTTTAAAACAACTTGGTTTGGCACTAATTAAACCATATATTGAAAAAAGAGGTAATAATCAAAGAATACCATCAGACATAAGAGCGAAACTAAAAAGAAATGACAGCGGAGAGGACTCTCAAGGACCTTCAAACAAGAAACAACGAACAACATCCAGATGTGGAGTGTGTCCCCGTGGAAAGGACAGAAAGTGCCAAAAGAAATGTGTAAAATGTGACATTTTTCTTTGTCTTGAACATTGTGTATATTTTTGTTCTAAATGTGCAAATAATTGTTAATTATGCTTTTTAAACAAAAGATCATAGTTACTTTTTATAGAATTTGTAGTTTTTTTTTATTCTATATCTCTAATAAAAATTTTATTAACAAAAATTGTGGTAGTGGTTTAAATATCAACTAAATTTTAGTATATTTTTTGAATCGTTGAATTATTAACGAAAATTTTTAAAATGATTTAACTTTGAAAAAGATTATATAACAATATAACCATGATTTAAAATCTTAAGGTTGCATGTAAAAATAAAATATTTTCTCAATTTTATAAATAAAAAAAAAATGGGGTGATAATTACCCCAACACACAGCTCCTGTTAGAAAATTTCACCACACAGTCGCCGGGTTAAATATAATTTATTATTAAAATTTGTAAATTAAACATTTCGGATTCTTTTTATAGTTTTAAAATTAATGACCAATTCAAATTGAACTTAATTTTGTCACATAAAACAAAGAAAGACACACATTTCTCACATGTATTTGAATCGCTTATTTATGAAAGGCCTCATGTCACTTTTTTTTCTAATTATCATTTAACTTACCATGAAAATGATAACCCATATGTTCGCACATCGTTTGTTTATGAAAAGCCTCATGTCTTGTTATTCCTTTATCAGATATATTAGTTTAAAATTATTGTTTATTTTTAAAAAGCCTCGTGTAAATGACAAGGAGCTTTTCATAAATAAAAGCACTGTTGGCGACATTGCTCGGTCAGCTGATTGTTGACAGATATTCACTGTTTGGAGATTATTAATTAACCTCTTGTTGTTTTATGTTATAATCAACTGTTAAATAATAAAATAAAATATTTCTCTTCAGGTATTGTTAAAGTGATTTACTAATTGTTTTAAAATAATGTCAGAAAGTAAAAGTGTCGCTGAAATAGAAGCAGATAGCAAGAAGCGAAAGAGGGGTGTTCGTTCGTTACCATGAAGAATATAAGGTTAATGGAATTAAGAAAGCTAGATGTCGTGGTGAAGAATATATAAATTACAGAGGAAATGTTGTTGAACCATGCAAAACAGGATTACCGTGCTCGTAAGTTACGTTTTATCTTATAATGTACTATTTTAGACAGGAAATACGATGATAATTAGAAGTCAATTTTAGAAGCTAGCTTAGTTCCACGATAGAAATCTTTTTAAATGTTGCAGATGCAGATTGAGATGTTTCGAGAAATTATTTGAAGAGGACCAAGTTGAAATTTTATGCAGAGTGGTAAACTTTTCAAACAAAAATGAGCAATACCTTTTTTACCAGTCCTAATAGAAGCATTGCCCGTACAGAAGAGGAGGTCAAGATTAAAACAAAACACTTCCGAAGATGAAGCTGAAGATGTTTCTTTAAGCATAAACATTCTGTTGAGCATAAAAGTTCTTGTAAATTCTATGCCTTGCTTCGTGAGAAAAGCAAGAAAAAAGAGTAAGAAGACTGCAAGATCTTCTTGTGAAAGGTAAGTCTTCTAGAGATTTAAGAAGGCCAACAGAATAATCGAAAGACCCTTCCACAAGATTATACGGATCTTGTTAAAAAACACATTCAGTCTTTCCACTAAAAACAAGTCACTATTCTTCTAAGAAAATAAAATATCTAGATGCTAAGCTGAACATAAAAAAATGTTCAATTTGTTTTCAAGAGAAATATAACGAGTTAAACGTGAAGTATAGTTTTTACTACAAACTTTTCAAAGAACATATATCAATTATATATATTTGGAAGGCGCCAAATTGACACGTTGTCAATGTGAACTGCTCAATACTACAATAAAAAATCCTCAGTTAAATGAAACAGTAAAACGAGTTGCAGTTGCGCAGCTACTTGTGCATAAGAGGCGTAGCAAAAAGTTTTATTCATCTCTTCGACAGACGAAAGAATACTGTGCCGAACATGAAAATGCGATGCTTTTATGTTTTGATTATATGGCAAACATATCGCTTCCCACGATTCCAGTGCAGGAAATATACTACCTTAGACAACTGTCCGTCTATCCATTTGGCATACACAATAGTAATAATGACACTGCAACATTTTATTTATACCACCAGGGAGTTGCTGGAAAGGGAAGTAATGAAGTTTGCTCTTTCTTGAAGAAGTATATTGACGAGAATGTTTCAGTTAATGTAGATGAATTGTACTTATACAGTGACAACTGTACAGGACAAAATAAAAATCATACGATGATTAGGATTTTAATTCAACTTACAGATAGTGGAAGATTCAAAAAAGTTGCCTGTAGACTTCCAATAAGGGGTCACTCCTATTTACCATGTGACAGGGTCTTCAGCCTTGTAAAACGAAACCTAAGGAAACATAATAGATTTTATACTTTGAAAGATATAACAGAAATAATACTTTCATCTACAAAACAGAGAAAATTTACTATGGATTTAGTGGAAAATGCAAATGTTTTGGACTTTTAAAGTTGGTGGCCCAAATTTTACAAGAAAAATACTGTTTCAGAAGAAAGTAAAATTGGGAAAAACAACAAAAAAGTAAATGTTTACTATTTCTTCCTACCATGAATTTACTTGCGAAAGATTTAAAAACGGAGTGGTTGTTATATCTGATTTTATAGGTGGATTTATTAGCAAAACCTTCAAATTATTATCATATCCACTGTCTACTGCTGAGCCATCCTCCCCTTCGTCATTAGCAAGAAAAACTCATTAATCAAAGGTACCAATTTATCAAGAAAAAATTAATGACCTGAAGAAACTTTTGCAGTATGTCCCTCAAGAACACAAGTGGTTTTACAATGAGCTTGCCCAATGGCCTACAGTTGCAACCAAAAAATGAGAAAAATGTATAAAATGGCAATTAATTGTAGCTAATTGTATTGTCTTAGAACTGTTTTAATAAAATAATATTAATTATAAATAAACACGGTGTAAATTCATCCACCAATCAAAACTTTCCCGTAAAAAACACTTTTGTTTATGAAAGGCCTTTTGTCAGCCATTTTCAATACTAAAAAAAATACAATATTGATTTTAAAAAGTGTAACTCACATAATTATTTTGAGTTTTAAGGTCCTTAAAACGTTTCGAAAAATCAGAAAAGTATAAAATCGTTTTTTTATAAAACTAAACAGTTTTTCTTGTTTTCCAAAATTTATATTTTGTGACAAGAGGCCTTTTATAAGTAAGCAATTCATTTGTTAATGCATATTTTTATAATAATATATTATTCAATGAGCTTGTATTAACTGCTTTTGTTCGCAAGGGTGCAGTTATGACACGACCCTTAGGCCAGTGCCGTAAATCACTCTCCGAATAATAGCCATTATAAGCGAATATAATACTATTCTTTCTCGACAACAACTGTTTAATAAAAATAAGTTTATTGAAGGACAATATAATATGTTTATTAATAACACACTAAAACAATATCCATATTAATTTATTAGACGAAATACATGCCAAATATATAAAGGGTACAGGGGAAAAACGATCATAGTCACAAAAAATAAAAAAATCCAAAATCCATACCGATATGATGGCAGTATGCGAAAATATTAACCTCGTGCTGACATTACACGTGAAAATCAGACAGAGTCCGCTGTAGAACCGAATACAAAAACGATATGCAGGGGAAGAATAACTGGAATAATAACTGGAAAAATAACTGGAAAACTGGAAGCCCAAGAATTCTACAATACACTTCCCTACAAACAGCAAGGTGAAGAGGGCAACGATGATGATTATCTTTAGAAGGTTAGTAGGTACATATCTTGAGAGACTTCAGTCTCATGAAAATTATTTAGAATTTATATTAGATAACTAAACAAAATTTATTTTTTATATTAAAAAAGACCAAGACTTCCCCGAATAAAAAAAAAACATTTTTTGAACATAAACTTCGTTTCTTGTATTGTAAATAAAATAAATTAATAAAATATAATCCATCCAAATTATAAAAATAATTCATGTACAATTAAATTACGTTAAACAAACAGCTGTTTTGTTTAAATTCTCCCAAGTTACAGGGGAATAATGATCATTATCCATGCAATAGTTTTTTTACACCAAATAATAATAAGAAATCGATGCTGTTACAAATTTAGTGTTAGAGGTATAGCAACTGAATAAGATAAAGTTAATTTTAAAATAAAAATAAAGTGCATAAAAAACATCAAACGTTCGGCACAAGTCTTAAGTTTAAAAACGGTCCCGTGAAAAATTTACTTTTTGTGACTATGATCGTTCTTCCCCTAGTACCCTTCATATGTAATATGTGGTTATTATAAAATACCCTAAAATTTAAAAAACTAAAAGTAGCGATACCTGAACGACATCACCAGCGAGTTTCTAGTGCTAGTCGTCTCTGTATACAGTCATCTATAAACCGTTTAAGGAAGCAGTTATGATTTCGTATTTCGATTTGTGTCTGTCATCTGGAAAATTATTTAAAGTATGTATTCGACATACACCTAGTTGAAATAAGCATCAAAATATCAAATTATGTCTTGAACGTTAAGCAAACTTGAGTTTAAGTTTCTGATATTGCAATTTCTAGGGTCGATCGAATATCGAAGGGATTGAAAAATTTAAAAAAATGGAAAATATGAACTTTTAATTTTAATTGGAATGTAAAGTATAAGTACTTGTTTTCTTTTTTAAGTTCTTCTCAAAGGAAAGAAAAAAAAATAATTACAATGCATATTTGGTTATCAATAAAGGAACAAACATGGTTACTCGCTTCTCGTATAGGGACCCATCAAGACATTAACCTTTAACTACGGGCGCCCCTCCATTAGTCATAACTACGTGCGCGGTGTATTCTGTACACCACCGACTAAAAACGCAAATAAAAGCCACAACTAGGTATTTTTAGTACATATATTGTATATAATAAATGTAGGCATATATTTAAGAGAATGTCTTAACATAAAAAATAATACATAACGAAAATATAAAGATTAGCAACAAATATAAGAACAAAAACTCAACCACTTCTTTTTCTCTAAAAATAACCTTCTTGAGATTCTTGTATATTAGCTTAACATTAAAAATATTATAAAACTAGTATATAAATCTAAAAACTAGGAGTAAATAATCATTCACAAATGAACATATTTGAGAATATGTGTGCTATTCACTTTCGTTTTCTTCCTCGTTTGCGTCTACTAAATTACAATTTGCACAAATTGTAACAGAGTGCTCTTTACAAACCATTCTATTACATTTGTTGCAAGATATTGTTGTAACTCTATTTTTGCTCCTTCCACAACAATGGCACCTCCCCCGTTTTTTTGCTGGTGGTTCTTCATCGTGGTCGTCTTGTACGTTTTTGTATTTCTTCAAGAATATTTTTAAATCCAGAGGTAAACTCTGTATTTCCGCCCTCTCAGAAAGATGAGGTCTTATCAATGCCAATGATAATTCTTTTAGAAAAACTCTTCTATATTTTTGAGGATTGTCGATGTTGGCAGCATTGTACAGGATCTGGCTGTTAATTCCGGCAATATTCAGGAGTTGAAAAAACAATGCCATTGGCCATCTTCGTGTTCTTCGGGATACCGAATAGGTACTGCACATTTTGTCTACAGTGTCTACGCCTCCTTTATGTGAATTATAGTCTAAAATTATCATTGGTTTTCCTGTTTCGGGATCTACTGTAGAATTACTGTGCATGGTAGATAGGAGAATGACAGCTTTATTTTTTTTTGGTGTGTAGGATACAATGGTAACTTCTTTTTGAAAACCAAAAGTGGATGATCCAATTGGTGTGTTTTTTCTTGGTAAAAACTCTGGAGGTAGTTGCCTTTTATTTCGTTTAAGTGTGCCAACCATCGTTATCTTTTCCTTCAAAAGGTCAATTGCCAACGGATAACTCGTATACCAATTGTCGCATGTTAAATTACGGTTTTTACCTTTCCAAGGTTGAAGCAGGCGATGGGTAATATCCGTTGGTGTGTTAGATTTTTTGTAGGGCCCTTCCGGTTGTTGACCACAATACACCTCAAAATTGGTGACATAAAAGGTCTGCGCGTCACATAACACAAACACTTTTAAGCCATACTTTGCAGGTTTACTTGGAATGTATTGCACAAAGTTGCATCTACCTCTAAAAGGTATCAACATTTCATCGATAGTCATTTCTTCTCCCAAGGAATAGTTGCTGCTACAGTTTTTCATAAACGTATCAAGAGTAAAGCGAATGGCAGCAAGTTTGTCAATTGATTTTCGGTCCTTTCGAGTATCTTTGTTGTCAAACCTAAGAGCAGCAAGCAAAAATAAAAATCGATCTGCGCTCATACAGGCTCGAAAGATTTCTGAGCCGGTACCATCTTTTGTCCACAATTCGAGGAAGTGTGTATGATTTTGTTTTTTAGTCCCTGCAAGAAATAATAATCCTAATAATGCCATGATTTCCTGTTTAGTCGTATCTTTAGCCCGTCTTGGCCGTTCATAATTTAATCGCATTTTTGCAATCTGCAAATTTGTACATTCA